AGATTTCAAGCTTTAAAATGCTTTTTTAAAAATCTCGTTATGATCATTTTTTACGAAGTTACATTCTTCTGAATTTTGACCTATTTTTGAGGTGGACTTAAGTGATCCTTTAATTTTTTTGCATAGTGTATATCATTACATTTAGTAAAAATTATAAAAACATTAACAGTTTCTCCCACATCTTAATCTACATCGTAAATATATGTTGCTTATTATATATTTTTGGTAATATTTTTCTGTAAAAATAATATAGAAATATCTTTAGCACCTCTAGGCCATTGTTTTTTTATAACTTGCACATCATCAATTTCAATCCAAGATCCTTCTCGACACATACTTATATAATGACTCTCTTCGACACATGAACCATAATGAAATATAGCATTCATAATTTTGTACGTCTGTCCAGCTATTAATATTTTCGTTGTCAGAACAGCACGTAAACTAAATTTGTGTGGTATCTTTACTAACTTATCATTCTCTGAAATAAAAGATATTAAGTGAATAATAAGTATCTCTTTTATCGAATCTAATTCACTTTTAAATAATATATCATTTCTTCCACAACGTTCACATAATTTATTAAACGACTGACCCCATTATGATGAAAATGTAGTTTTTAATAAATCATCGAGATTATAACTTTTTTTTCTTCAAATTATTAATAGAAATTGAAAGTAAAATGTTAGTATTAGTAATAACTTTCGTATCATCACACGAATCGAGAAGTGTAAGTAACTTGATGTTCTATCATATTTTTTATATAATCGTATTTTGTACAAAGAGCTGTATAAGAAATTCTAATGCATCTCGTTTAATAGCAACCGAAAAATATTCCCCTAAAGATTGCCATATTTCATATGTATTCAAATTATACTATTTACACAATACAATTTGCGTTAAAATTTATAACGCTGCGTTTACAAATTAGAGTTATTATAGAATACGAAGGACTATACAAAATTATACAAAATTAAAAATACGTCTTTCCATAGAAACGGAACAATATTCTTCGAAACAAAAGAGAAATATCTATAAGTTATATATTATCAAATTTCTTTAAGTTATATTTATATATTATCAAATATGTAAGTAATATCTACCGAAATCGCAACATAAAGAAATATTGCAATTTTGGTAGATATACTTGCACATTTGATAATATATAAATATGACTTACAGAAATAATATATAAATATAACTTACAGAAATTCTAATCGGTAAACGCAACGTTATGAATTTTAACGCAAATTATATTGTCTGAATAGTATACGCGCAATTCTATTTTCCAACTTTCAGAGAAATTACGAGAAATCGCAACATAAAGAAATATTGCAATTTTGGTAGATATTATACTTGCACATTTCATAATATATAAATATGACTTACAGAAATTTGATATATAACTTATAAAAATTTCTCTTTCGTTTCGTTTTTCTTCTTATTGTAACGAAAAAAGTATATTTAACGCAACACTAAACGTTCGAACGAGCGTTTAGTGTTGCGTTAAATATACTTTTTTCGTTACAATAACAAGAAAAACGAAACGAAAGAGAAATTTTTATAAGTTATATATCAAATTTCTATAAGTTATATTTATACATCTTTATTTTAGACCGTATATGTGAGAAACACAATCAATACTAGAAATTTAAAATGCCTATTACGGTCGGAGCTGGATCTTCGTTGCTTTTAAATAATTCAATCTAGAATTACTAATATATACTATATATGTACTTGCATATATACCATATTGTAGTCTTTTTTCAAACTGCGCGCCGAATTATTTTTCCGGACTAAATAAACCCAATTAAAACTAAGGCGTATTTTCGATCTGATATCACAGTAGCGTTTAGTTAGAAGTGTTTCGGGCTGTGACGTCACAAACAGACACCATGATCGAAAATGACATTTCACTGTCACTATTGAAACTTGGCGGTAAATATGGACCCGAAAACAAAGGTAGCGTTAGCCTTAGCGGTACAATTATTTGAAGGAGACACCTTTGATGATGATTTACTTACCATAGCATGTAGTAAATCGGGGGCAGCGTGTGTAATGTTGCTTTATTATTTCAAAAGGAGGATATACAAAAACATTTTAGATTAGGACATTTGTGCGGCGAAGAATGGATCCAGTATTACTTGAACTTTGATTTTCACCGGCTATTTCGGTAAGAATCACAGAAATTCTATGTGATACTCTTTACGCCATGCTTTGTGTGATATCCGTATAATTTTCTTATTTTTTATAGGATGCGTAAAGACACTTTCAAAGTTATTGCCCCAAGATATGTGCCAAAAATGCAACGTGGTGATACCCCTGCTGTTACAGTTGAGAAGACAACACTTATGACTCTATGGTACCTGGCCGGTCAGTCACCAATGGAGAGTTTGGGTGACCGGTTTGGTGTAGCCCCTTCTACAGTATATCATGAAGTTAATCGTATCGTTGATATTCTTTGTACATTGAGCCCTAAATTTATAGTGTGGCCTAAAGATCATGAATGTGCAGTTGTAAGACAACAATTTTATGACAAAGCAGGATATCCAGGTATGCATGTTACTTTGCATCATGTGTATTACTTGTTTTATACGTATGTATCAATTGCCCACATCAATAATTGTTCAATTCAAAATAATATAATCTCATTGTTGAAGCATTGAAAAATTGAACCGATGTAAGTGGTGTGTACAATTGAACTGTATACAAATACGCCGCTTTTTATACATTAATCTTTTTTCATTGCTATCAATTATACAGAATATTTAATGTCCACACTTTGCAGGTGTGATTGGTGCCATTGACGGTTGTCACATTGATATACTTGCTCCAGCTGATGATCAGGATTCGTACACAGACAGGAAGATGAATCATTCTATAATCCTACAAGGTGGTTCTTTGTGATGGATTAAAATCTTTCATCTGCAGATAGTGAAATTGAAGCAATATTTAAAAAGTAATTTTTATATGCAGGTATCTGCACAGCTACTAAAATATTTACCAACGTTTCCATTGGTACACCAGGATCTCGATTGTCGTGCTTTGAAATATTCAACTTTCTACAAAAAAGTAACCCAGGAAGGACTCGAGAGCTTATTTTACAATCCTCACAATCATCTTGTTGGTGATAAGGCCTATTCTAACAGAGCTTGGCTCATGGCACCTTATAAGTATGTGCAATGTTAAATATGCTTAATATAATATTCTTATATTAGGTAAGAAATGAACCTTTCAGTTTATATACTATTCTTTCATTTCCAGGGACTATGGAAATCTTACTCTGACTCAAAGGCGTCATAACTTGGTCCATAGTTCAACAAGAACTGTCATAGAACACGCATTTGGACTTTTAAAGAGACGATGGCTATACCTGCTGAAATTGAGACTCAAACGTATTGACAGGGCTACAAACTTTGTTTTAGCATGCTGTGTACTTCATAATTTCTGTTTCCTACATAATGATGAAGTTATTCAAAACATGGTAAATGATGATAGACAGATGCGACAGCAAGATTTAATGGAATATCATGATGCAGCAAATGCAGACATTGCTATACAGAAGAGAGACCGCATTGCCAGCTTGTTATAGTTTGAAATTTATTTTTCTTTTATGTGTTACAGTGGATACAAAATAAACTCACTTTAAAGAATTACATGAAATTAATTATTTTTCTTACATTCTTCTCAAAATCAATATCATCTTCACAAATATTTCAAAATAATCATTTGACACTTATATATTTGAAAATCGATATGATAGCCAGCATATTAGCATCGAGCATAAACAAATATATCAGACTTCTTCGATATGACAGCCAGCATATTAGCATCGAGCATAAACAAATATATCAGACTTCTATAGTAATTAAATATGTGGCACTCTGACAATAAATACTATAAAAAATACTAATACTACATCTAACTAATCGAAAACGCTATAATAGTATAAATTAAAAACCCGTTCTATGGTATTACGAACTAAGGGCAATTTGTTAAGTCTTGAGAAGTGCCACATATTCTGACATATAATAAAATTTTAAAAAATTAACCTTAGTCAAACATAAAACATCTCTAATATCATGTGATTAACAACTGACAAATATATTTCTAAAACTAAAATAAAAATTATTGCTGCTTCGTAAGCAATAGTAATTAAAATCACATGACATATTTCTTTGGCTGCATCCTACATGAAATAATCATTACTTTATCACAGTCAATTTTTCAAAATAATTATCCTTTGGTTGGATTAACGATAAATCATATAAATCAGAGGGAATATATATAAAAAATATAAATATATATATATATATATATGTAAACTGAACTGAAAAACAATGTCAGACATCAAACGCAGTGTGAATCTTCTATTACTTGTCCAATAATTAGAGAGAATTTCCAACATTTGTTTTTTCGATTCTTTTTCTTGTTCCATTTTTTTAGTTAGAAGCTGTACAAGATTTTTATTCTGCGTTTTTCTCTCTTCTGAATCCTGTTTTAAAAAATTCAGTAAGGCACTGTTGTCAATTTTTCGTTTCTTGGCCTTGGTAGTATTTTGTACTTTTAGAAAAGGGCTCACTTTCTTCTGGTTGGAAATCAATTCTTTTGCATCATCGTCAGACAGAGGCTCGTCAGAATCCTTGGCGCTGCAACTGAATTCTTGAGAACATTTACTGCTTTTTAAAAAATCATTTGATACTGATGACGATGAGGTTTGACTAGACAGGTCTGACATTGTGTCCATTAAATTAACTGGGGTTGCCTTAGCAGAATCTTTAATAATGTCTCGTACTTCATCATAAAATGCAGGCTTTTTCAACTTCCCAGCTCCAGTGCTCTTAGACCCTCCATTTTGAATGAATGTTATAGTTTTTCCTTCCATGTTCCTCCACTTTTGAGAACAAACTGTACCTGGGTCTCGATTACTAAAATTATAACCCAGAATCATCATTTCTTTGGCAATTTGTGACCAAACGTTCTTCTTTTTGCTCATTTTGTCTTTTAGCAGAGATTTAAAGCGATCACTTCCGACAAACTTAATAAGAGCATCAGTTGCCTCTACATCATGGGCTGAAGGTTTCCCGCGTATGTGGCAGGAATTGGCGTATTTCTTTATTATCCGGAACGACAAAAACGGAATTGTCTGACAATAGAGAGTAAAATTTATTAGACTACAAACTGAGGACATAAAACTTTAGGTTAAATGGCGTTTCTAATATACTTACTCAATTTATCATATACTAAAAGCCCTGGGTTTTTTGGATCTTCCGACATTTGGATATTACCAGAATCATCCTGACACAGCATATGCTGGTCAAGATTTAAGATGATGTTGCGACTCTTTCCCGCTCAAACACTTAACTGCAAACATGCTAATGACCTCCCCGGTTTGGTTGGATGTTTGGGTCCTACCAAGCTAACGTGTTAGCATCGGTGACGTCACAACCACAAACGAAAATGGCCGTGGTCACTTCTTTGGAACGTTGGTCGTGGTTGGATAACGAAAATACGCCTCTACTCTAGTAATCGCGAATTAAATTGACGCTCGTACAGATACAAGAGATCCGGGTTTAAGTCCCGGGCGAGGTAATATTTTTCGGCAATAAATTTATTAACAGTTTTAATATATTAATATAAATAGTAATAAGGCTCCACGATAGCAAATAAATTCAAGTAAAGAAAGGGCAAAGAGCCAAAGTATAGAAAATTTTAACAACACATATATATATTAAAAATAATACAAAATACATACAAATTTAGCAGACAAATTTAACAAACGTTTCGAACCCGATCGGGTCATTTTCAATGATAACATAAATTAATATAATGTACAGAATAAATTTTTCTTTGTAATATCGCCACTTGAAGAAATCTGGGTAGTATCATTGTAAGTCTAATTCCTCGGAAATAAATGTGTATAAAAGAAACCGCGAATACTAAAGTCAATAACAATAAATTACTTGATCAAAATTAAAATTCATAAAGACAAATAACAATTCATATATGTAAAATTACTTAAAACTGTAATTATAAAGAATTGTAACACTTAAGAGAGTGCTACAAAAAATTCAATGAAATTATCTAATAATTAATAGAAAAATTAAAAATATATTACTCACAAGATTAAAAAACACAAATTCCACTGTCATCAATATATCTTCGTTGAAATAGTCAAAAGTTAAAAATTCAAACATTACAGCTTCGGACAAAAAATGAAAGTCCAGTATTATATACTGAGATACGCAATACAATAATAAAATCTGTATAAAAATCTTCATAGTAATAAATAGACGGTTATTTTAGACCAATTTGAGAAGATGTTGAAATGTATCCAAGTTCAATAATACAAAACAAAACCAATTCTATAATTCGTAAAAATTACATGATAAACATATTAAATATATTAAATGACTGAATATGTAATAAATTGTCCGATTATTCAGACCGTAACATTACCTGTGAGTAATTACAAACTGTAGATTCATTATTTTAAGTAACATCTTCAATTAAATTAAACTTTTAAAATTATATTTGAGCGAGTTAACAATGCCAGTATACAGGACGAATATAAGAATAATATAACGGCCGAAGTGTTCACAACAAAGGCTCAACATGTAATGATCACAGAGACAAACGGCGACCACCGAAACTGTTCGTAGGAAGGGGAAAATGAAAAATCTCTAAGAAGGAGAAAGCGAATGTATTATATTGTGATATGTTTCAGGCAAAGTTTCGGTATCATTCTGCCTATTAATTCCATGCAGCTGTCTTTTTATATGCACCATCTCCGAAATCAATCTTTTGTTATACGATGGTTCGATGTCCAAAACCTTCACGTCATCCCATCTAAAATTATGATTTTCAACTAATCGATGATTAGAAATAACCGACGGAGATTTTGATGTCTTATTAATATCGGAGATGTGTTCCTGCACCCTCGTTTGCAAACGTCTCTTCGTTTGTCCAACATAACTAACATCACACTCATCACAAGAGATCTTATACACAACGTTCTGATTTTTTAAAGGTTCTAATTTATCTTTGCCCCTCTTTATTAATCCCTTAAGAGTGTTAGGAATTGTATATGCTAATTTACAATTAAAAACATTAGTGAGTGGTAGAAAATTCTCAGAAATCGACTTCACATATGGAATTGCAAAAAACTTCTCTTTAACTTTGTTAGTGTTGGTTAAATTTTTTTTATTAATATGAAACTTGACTCTATTATTAATCGCTGAAAAAATGAATTGAATCGGATAACCATTGTTCAGAAAAATATTGATAGCATTAATTAAATTTACTTTATGAAAACGAGGATGGCATAACCGGATGATTCTGTCTACAATTCCATAAACAACGCCTCTCTTGTGACAAACAGGATGATGTGAGTTAAAATTTAAAAGTCTGCCTGAAAACGTGGCTTTCCGATATCCATCAAAAACTAGTCTACCCTCCTCCACAATAAGTAAGATATCCAAAAAACTAATCCTGCCTTCCTTATGAAACTCGACAGTTAACTGCAAACGCGCGTGTAACGAATTAAAAATCTCCAGAATATCATCTATCATCACAGAAGGAGCAGCCATAATAATGTCGTCCACATACCGGTAATAAAACAACAATCTGCAAGGTAACTTATCAATGGCTTTTTTCTCAAGATCTTGCATAACCATATTGGCAACCACCGGTGACAAAGGGGACCCCATAGGAGTTCCAAAGATTTGCTTGTAAATCACTTTGTTAAATACAAAATAGGTTGAATTAAGAACCAGGCGGAAGGCTATTAGAAATTCTTCTAACGGTATTTTAGTCTTTCCCGATATAAATTCCCATCTACCCACGATACTATCAGTAGCCAACTCTATAGGAACGTTTGTAAATAAAGAAACGATATCGAAAGAAACCAAACTGTAACCCTCATCAATGTTGAAATTTTTAACTTTGTTAATAAGGTCGAAACTATTCTTTATAAAACTAGGTGTCTCAGGTATATTATCATTAATGATTTTATGCAAGTAGTAAGATAAATTATATGAAGGACTATTAATTGAAGAAACTATTATCCTCAAAGGCTGACCTGGTTTATGGATTTTGGTTAAACCGTATGCCCTAGGTATACTCCCATCGGTCGCCAACAATCTCCGATAAGCAGCCTCATCAATGTACTGTCTATTTTTCCATCTGACAAGCAAATTCCTAATGTCCCCAATCAATTTTTTTGTAGGATCTTTATCAATTTTGGAATAAGTGTCAATATCTGACAACATCATTTCCATTTTTGCAACATACTCACTCCTATCAAGAACAACCGTAACGTTCCCTTTATCAGCTATGCTAATCAAAATTTCAGGATGACTGTTCACAAATTCTTTAGAAATTCTAAACCAATCTGAAAGTAGTTTATCAGTCGAACTAAATTTAGGAAACTCATTTTTAATTTTGTCAAGAAATGGAATTCCTAAAAAAATTCACAACATTATTAGGTCGACCATATATATTATTCTCAATATGTTTTATGAATTCTACCAAAGTCCTATCTATGTTCCCTTTGTCTATCGGTAGGCCAAAGCCTTCTCCCAACTGCAATAAATATTGTACTTCCTTCGGTAATTCAACGTCACTCAGATTGACAAGCCATTAATATATTAACATCTTTATAATATATGATGCTTGATGGTAGCATCAAAATTATTAAAATTGCTTGTCAATTTAATTCGCGATTACTAGAGTAGTTTTAATTGGGTTTATTTAGTCCGGAAAAATAATTCGGCGCGCAGTTTGAAAAAAGACTACAATATGGTATATATGCAAGTACATATATAGTATATATTAGTAATTCAAGATTGAATTATTTAAAAGCAACGAAGATCCAGCTTCGACCGCAAAAGGCATTTTAAATTTCTAGTATTGATTATATTTGTTTTGTCTTCAGTTGGATATCGTTAATATCCGCACTGTCTTTTCGCTTCACAGAGTTTATTACAGTGTTTACAAAATATACATTTTTATATAACACAAAATCAGTAGACAACTTCGCGTTTTCTGTTTAGTTAAGCCACTGTAGATCACGACGTACGCCTAGGGGCAACGTAATGCCCTGAGTCGTTTAATGACAACGCCTGGGGGTACTCGCGTATACCCTGAGTCGATGGTCGGACGATATCGTGATAACGCTTAGAGACTCTTGTCTTGAAACACGATTAACACACACACGTTTGAAATCGCTCGAAAGGAAAACGAAAAACTGTACTTCATGAGATGTGAACAGTCGTACGATCGCCGGTCGAATGGAATAAGACTGAGGTCCTGATCACCGCACAGCCTTCTCTTCCAGGTCCTGATTGGTTGAATTTTCCGAATGTAATTGTGACGAAGCCGCGCAGACATAGCGGCGTCAAAGCGACGACAAAGCGACGACAATGCGGAGACGGAAAGACGCGACAAAAAAAAGGGTCACGATGCCTAATGAATCTTCTATCGATGCCGCAGTTTTTCTGTCCCCTTACGAGCTGAGATGGATTTCTGAATATACGCAATAATGCGTGTTAAAGTGTGTCAATACGTGTGTATCCGTATTGGTTCGTCCGACGTCCATCACAAGTCGTGCACGACATTTAGAGAGCTCTCTACGCAACATTCTCCCCCCGTTGAGAGGGTGAACCGATCAACTAAGTCTAGACCATAAATTATTACAAATGACGCATCGTATAATATTAGTGATAATGGTAGTGTGTGAGTATACGCTTGTGTTATGATTCGACCGGGAGTGGACATAATGTTTTCACAGATCTCTTGAGTTCTCCAGTCGCAGTTTTCATTGTGGCAACTCGTATCACCCCATCATCGTCTGGGTGTAAGGATGTAATCCGGCCTAGAGCCCATTGGGTGCAAGGTAACGTTCGGTCCTTGATGAGGACGACGTCTCCAACGGTTAGATTTGGCTTGTCCTTATCCCATTTAGCACGTGTCTGTAGTTCATTCAAGTATTCCAGACTCCAACGCGACCAGAAATCCTGACGCACCTTTTGTATGTGATGCCAGGTGGACAATCGGTTATCTGGAACTGATAATAAATTTTCCTCCGGCAGAGACGTTAAAGATTTTCCAATTAAACAATGTGCAGGAGATAGTACCAGTAAGTCATTCGGATCAGAGGAAATGGCAGTAATTGGTCTGGAGTTTAAGATCCTCGACTTCAACGGTGAATGTGTTCAACTCTTCGAACGTAAATAAAGAATCTCCTATGACTCGTTTAAAATGATGCTTGAAAAGCTTTACTGAAGCTTCCCATAGTCCGCCGAAATGAGAAGCTGCTGGCGATATAAAATGCCATATAATACGGTGCTCGGAGGCGAATCTGTTCACACGAGTTTTATTTTCTTCTGAATTGAGCAAAACGTACAATTCCTTTAATTTGTTATTCGCGCCTACAAAATTCGTACCGTTGTCCGAATAGATGTGTTTCGGAAGACCACGTCTGGCCACGAATCGTAAGGCTGCGAGGAACCCGTCAGATGTTAAATCGCTTACGACTTCGATATGTATTGCCTTTATCGACATACACACGAATATACATACGTAGACCTTGATCTGTGATCGATTACGGAATTTTCTTTCTTTTATATAAAACGGGCCGCAGAAGTCAATCCCGGTATTGGTAAACGGGATGGCCGCACGCACACGAGGCGGTGGGAGATTACCCATTTTATATTCAGCTGTGGTGGAATTGAAACGGAAACAACGCTTGCATGAGCGAATGATTTTTCTCACTTGGTTGCGTCCGTCCGGTAACCAGAATCTTTGACGAAGGATGTATAATGTCGTTTGTACGCCTGGATGAAAATGTTTCTCGTGTGTTTCGCGAATAATGCAATCCGTGAGATGATGTCGATTAGGAAGCAGGATTGGATGTTTTTACGTAAACGTGAGTTCCGACATTCGAAGCCGTTCCCCAACGCGAATCAGGCCGTAGTTGTCCAAGAATGGATCTATAGGTTTGCGAATTTGCTCTTATTTTTTGAGCCCCTGTCTAACACCTTAATTTCATCAGAGAACCGGACGCCCTGCAGAAGTTTCAGTACACGTATCTCAGCTTCATTAATTTCCTCCGCGCATAATGGTCCGGAGTACTTGAGAAATATTAAAGCGAAGGCTGAATATGCTATGATTCTAATGAGTTTAATATAGGAAGAAAATTTTAAAAGGATGTCATAATCGCGATCTATAGAAGCTAAACAAGTGTTATCCTTTAAATCAGGCACTTGATCCAATCGAGCAGAGACGTCAGGCTATTCGGACTCATCCTTAGACAACCACGAGAGACCCGCAAACCACACACGATTCCGTGAAAATTCACGAGGCGTCTGTCCTCGAGAAATCGCGTCCGCTGGATTATTTTTTGATTTCACATGTCGCCAATCAGCTGCGTCTGTAATATCCTGAATGTTTGCGACTCGATTAGCTACGTATGTTTTTAATAAGTGCGGGGGTGTTTTCAACCAATGTAGCACGACGGTCGAGTCGCTCCAAAAAATCTTCTTATTGACTGCGAGATCTAATGCATCATTCGCTTCGCGAAACAGTTGTGCTAACAATAAAGCGCCGCATAATTCGAGCCGTGGTATCGTGACGGTTTTTAACGGAGCGATCCGCGATTTAGCGCATAACAATCTGACGCACGTTTTACCTTGCTTCCCACGCGACCGTATATATATACAGGGTGTCCCATTTTAAATAACGGATAGGAATGTCTCAGATGGTAAGCATTTTGGAGGAAATTTGTTTATACAAAAGTTGTAGGGTACAGACAAGGCTAACTTATGGTGACCTTGACCTTGACCTTGACGATGACCTTCAAGGTCATTTCAATATCAAGTCAATTTTTTCAAATGGAACCCCTTATTTTTTAACCCGGAAGTGGAAAGAGCGGAAGATTTTACGTCCGAATATGACCTTGACTTTGACCTTCACCGCTACCTTCAAGTGCTCCTTCACCGCTCCATGGTGAGGTTCTATAGTTCTTTTCGGTTTGTGTCCGTTAGTTTGGACCTCCCTGTCGGCCAGCATTTAGCATGATTGAACCTGAGCTGATATTGCCCGAGCGGATCATAAGCCACAACACCCTCACCACGAGAAGGTGGACACATGGGGGCACCCAGCCAGTTAAGGCAAGATAGAGGAGTCACCCAGCCAGTTAAGGCAAGATAGAGTCACCCAGCCAGTACTTAACTCTTCTTTTTCGATCTTCTTCAGAGAATCTTACTCAGTTGATCATTAATAAGCATAATTTATATTAAATTACCGAAATCGTTTAAAATTTGTACGTAAAATCTTCCGCGCTTTTCACTTCCGGGGTAAAAAATAAGGGGTTCGGTTAAAAAAAAATCGACTTAACCTTAAAATGATCTTGAAGGTCGAGGTCAAGGTCAATGTCAAGGTCACATGCGGACGTGAAATCTTCCTCTGTTTCCATATCCGTGGTAAAAAATGAGGGGTTCCATTTAAAAAATCGACTTGATATTAAAATGACCTTGAAGGTAGCGGTGAAGGTCAAGGTCAAAGTCATATTCGGACGTAAAATCTTCCGCTCTTTCCACTTCCGGGTTAAAAAATAAGGGGTTCCATTTGAAAAAATTGACTTGATATTGAAATGACCTTGAAGGTCATCGTCAAGGTCAAGGTCAAGGTCACCATAAGTTAGCCTTGTCTGTACCCTACAACTTTTGTATAAACAAATTTCCTCCAAAATGCTTACCATCCGAGATATTCCTATCCGTTATTTAAAATGGGACATCCTGTATATACAAGCACCGTAGCCTACGTTGCTGGCGTCACAGAAACCGTGAAGTTGAATATCGTAACAATTCTCCACGAGTAACTTGCGATCGACCGAAATCGAATCCATAGACGCCCATTGTTTAATAAATTCCGACCACTCTGTATAGATGTTCTGTGGAACGGATTCATCCCAGTGTAATCCGCATAGCCACACGCTCTGTATTAACTTCTTAGCATATAAAACGACCGGACCCAAGAGGCCCAGTGGGTCGAAAATCTTAGCGATTTCTGATAGAATGATCCTTTTTGTCGGTTTCTTCATATTGATGATAGGATTGGTCGTATAACATATCTTATTGTCGCGAGTGCTCCACGCTGTGCCTAATGTTTTCAGGGTACGATTTATATTCAACGTAAAATTAGTATGCAATGAGTTGGATGGTAAATCATTAATCGCGCGTTCGTCATTTGATGCCCATTGACGGATAAGTGAATCCGCCTCTGACCAGCAATGCGATTATTTCATCTCGTATCACTCGGGCTTGATCGAACGTTTCAGCGCCAGTGAGCAAATCATCCACATACAGATGAGATTTAATAATCTTGGATGCCCGAGGATGGACGAGAGATTCGTCATCTGCGAGCTGTTGAAGAGTGCGAATTGCTAAGAATGGTGAGGAAGACACGCCGAAGGTGAGCGTGTTTAACTGAAACATTTCGATCTTGCCGTTGTGGCGCCAAAGAATGCGTTGGTATCGCCGATCGTCTTCATGTAAAGCTACTTGGCGATACATTTTCTCGATGTCGGCTATAATGACACAGTTGTACGTACGGAATCGAATTAAGTGCGCGAATAAATTATTTTGCACGGTGGGACCTACCATAAGTAAGTCGTTTAACGATACCCCATTGCTTGTCTTCGCAGAAGCGTCAAAGACTACTCGTACCTTTGTGGTTTCACTCGATTCTTTAAGTACCGCGTGATGGGGCATGTAATAGCCTTCTTCATCGGGATTTTCTACCAAAGACATATATTTTAATTTCAAATACTCGTTTATCACTTGAGTGTAATCCGATTTCAAAGTCATGTTCGTGTTAAGTTTGCGCTCTAATGCTAATAGACGTTTAAGCGCCACGGACCGCGATTCTCCTAGACGTTTGTTCGTATCGCGAAATGGCAAGCGAACTGAATAACGACCGTCATCGCCACGAAAGACAGTTCTAATAAAATGTGCTTCGCACATACTTTCCTCTTCAGATAACGGTCTATTCGTCGCGATTTCTTCTATCGTCCAAAATTGAAGCACCAGACTTTCGAGATTAGTCGAGTGACATATTGAGAGTCCTGTTGCCCTTTGTGATGATGCTCCACCAGCTACTACCCAGCCTAATCGTGTCTTTTGTAAATATAATTCATAGCCTTCTCGCGTAAGATTGATCTGATCGATTGCGAACAACGATAGCGACATTACTGAACCCACTAATAAATCAATCGAACGTGGTAAGTGGAACTCTGGATCCGCCAATTTAATATTCAATGGTAACCGATTGACTCGCGTGGAAATACCTCGGATGGAATTAGATCGGCGATGATTGGTATTGTCAGGCATGTCAAATGTTTGCAGAAATTGTCGTATATGGATTGTATCTTTATTTGGACTATGCCTTTCGATTCGGTACTTGTGTCATTAATCGCACTGACCGGTAACGAATGCGCGTTTATCGGTAAATTCAAGCGTTTTACGAAGGATTCGGATATAAAATTTGCAGAAGCGCCCGTATCTAATAGTGCGCGGCATTTAATTAGTTGGTTTTGATAATCGTGAACATATACAAGTGCGCTTGTCATAAGTTGCGGCGCTTGGAAGTGTAATGTCGCTAGATTTGTCGTTCGATTGTCGGTCATCTGGATTAGTCATTCGGTTTGAATCGACTTTGATTTTGACTTGTTGAATTCATTCGCGTAATTATCAATGTGCAAAAGTGTGTTGTGACGTTTCTGGCAAATAGAACAACTTGAAAATTTGCACGCGCTACCGCGATGTGACCGTAAGCAATTGTAGCACAGCTTCGCGGTTTTTATTGCATCGATGCGCTTCTGGACCGACAGCTGTTTAAACTTTTCGCACGTATACAGCGGATGACGACTGGTCTTGCACACTATACAATTACGCGATGTATTCAGCATAAGTGCGCGATTCGACGCGCCAGTGCGTTTCCTTTTAGCCGCGGGTTCGGATTTGTTTTTTTCTGTTTCCGTTTCCTTCGATCTCTCACGTTTTGAAGCGCAGACCGCGGACTTGTATAGAAATTCGTACATCTTATCGGGTTCAGGGAATATATCTCTTTCGAGAGACGCTTCCCATCTCTCTGACGCGCTCTTCGGAAACCTGCTCTCCAAAATATGGACGACTACTTCTGATCCGACGGAGACGCCTAACGCGTTTAGCGACGCGACATGCTGTTGCGCGTCGTCTGCGAGTTTAGATAAAGCACTGGTTGTTTCTTTATCCAATGTCGGCAAATTTAAAAATAGCGACAAGTGACGCGATATTAAAATATGTTTTACTTCATATGCCCTTTCAAGTAACTCCCACGCTTTACTATAATTTGCACCGTCAATAGTGAAAATTCGTAATTTATTGGCAGCTTCACCCTTTAGCGCCGCCTTCAAATATTATAACTTATCTATGTCAGACAGATCTGTCTGCGAGCCTATCATATTTTTGAATGCGTTCTTAAACGACAACCAACCTTCATATTTGCCGTTGAATGTAGGCAGAGATGCTTCCGGTAATTTAATTCGTCGTTTCTTGGTTGCTGTCTCGGACCCGGTGCTTCGCGTCTCGTTCATCGAACTGCTAGTGCCCGCTTCCGAAATGTCGAGTTCATGTAAGGTTTTTTCGACCTTACTCGCGAGAAAGTAGTACCGATCTTGAATGCTCGTGAATTCGATTTGATGTCCTTCATTCGGATCTAGTACGGCGAGTTCGTCGTTACTATCCTCAAACGCATGATAAAGTTCAGTTACGCGTTTCATTCTCAGTTTTAATGACGCGTTATCGTACTTTCCCTTGTCAAGGATATTATTTAAACTCGTTATTTGGGACTTCAACGAAGTCCGCCTTTGTATTAATAGTTTAATTTTATCTGCCATTTCCGTGTAATTTAAGAATATAAACTATCGAATGACTTACTAAACCGTGGTGAATTGGTGATTGTCGTGTCGTGTCTCAACGCTCTCGGAAATTTGCATCTATGGCTGTATGGAACGTGATCTTCTCTGTCCTTCTCGGAGATTTGTACTCGTGATTGTGTGGAACGTGATGGTCACTCTTCGATGATCTATGCGTAGAATATACGGCAGGTCGCAAGACCTCACAGGAGGCACCAAAATGTTTTGTCTTTAGTTGGATATCATTAATATCCGCACTCTTTTTGCCTCACAAAGTTTATTAGTGTTTACAAAATATACATTTTTATATAACACAAAATCAGTAGACAACTTCGCGTTTTCTGTTTAGTTAAGCCACTGTAGATCACGACGTACGCCTAGGGGCAACGTAATGCCCTGAGTCGTTTAATGACAACGCCTGGGGGTACTCGCGTATACCCTGAGTCGATGGTCGGACGATATCGTGATAACGCTTAGAGACTCTTGTCTTGAAACACGATTAACACACACACGTTTGAAATCGCTCGAAAGGAAAACGAAAAACTGTACTTCATGAGATGTGAACAGTCGTACGATCGCCGGTCGAATGGAATAAGACTGAGGTCCTGATCACCGCACAGCCTTCTCTTCCAGGTCCTGATTGGTTGAATTTTCCGAATGTAATTGTGACGAAGCCGCGCAGACATAGCGGCGTCAAAGCGACGACAAAGCGACGACAATGCGGAGACGGAAAGACGCGACAAAAAAAAGGGTCACGATGCCTAATGAATCTTCTATCGATGCCGCAGTTTTTCTGTCCCCTTACGAGCTGAGATGGATTTCTGAATATACGCAATAATGCGTGTTAAAGTGTGTCAATACGTGTGTATCCGTATTGGTTCGTCCGACGTCCATCACAAGTCGTGCACGACATTTAGAGAGCTCTCTACGCAACAATATTTATATATTATCAAATGTGCAAGTAATATCTACTAAAATTGCAATATTTCTTTATGTTGCGATTTCTCGTAATTTTCTCTGAAAGCTGGAAAATAGAATTGCGCGTATACTATTCAGATAATATAATTTGCGTTAAAGTTCATAACGCTGCGTTTACGGATTAGAATTAAAATGTGGAGGGCTATACAAAATTAAAAATACATCTTTCCGCAGAAACGGAACAATATCCTTCCAAACGAAAAAGTAAATATAACTTATGGAAATTTGATAATATACATATAACTTATAGAAATTTCTATTTCTCTTTCGTTTTGTTTTTCTAATTTTATAGTAACGAAAAAAGTATATACAGGGTGTCTCAAAAAATGTGACTGAAACACAGTGGGGACATAGATTGGATCAAGGGGAACAAAATAGTTTGGTACCATTTTGCAGTTAACGCAATATTTAACGAGATATTAACGTTTAAAGATAGGCGAATACGAGCGTCCGACCAGCCTACTGATCATGTACTGCTGCCGGCAGGACGGTCTACCGTCCCAGTGGGGATTAATTAAAAATACATAATGGAAAATTAAAAATACATCTTTCCGCAAAAACGGAACAATATACTTCAAAACAAAAGAGAAATTTTTATAATTTATATATTATCAAATTTCTCTAAGTCATCTAATTTAACACATGAAAATCTATTTCTTGAAGTCAATTATAAGGTAAATTGTTTAACATTCGTCACTACAAATGCGTGATATCGGTACAAACTTACCTTTTTAAAAAAGGTAAAAAAAGGCGCTAAACATTCATGTTTCTCGAATGAAACCTAAGTATCCAACCCAATTAATAGTAGTTTTAATTTTTCTTCAAGGACATTCTTATTGAAGGTTTCCTTATTCCGAGTAATGGCAACTTTAATTCTGTGTCAAAAATTATTACTCTTCGAAAAAAATTAATGCATCAAATGAAAGATTAATACCCAGATGCTACAATCTTAATTAGAGTAAATGTCCCAATTACTGCATCTTTAAGCATATAGTTGTAATAGATATACTTATTTTGAAGCTTTTAAGATATATAACACAGACCTCACTTTTTTATTATATTCAAATATAAACTTTAATATACACTAAATAAAAGCAACAAGTTCGAAAACTGACTAATTAAATATAGCGAAAAAAATGTTATGTAAGGTATTGAACATATTACTGCCAGTCTTTGTCCAAATACTGTCCCTCCAATTACTGCCACATGTACCTAATACTGTCTCCATATTTACTACCAGTGTACTAAATTCTGCCACCCAATTACTGCACAGTGTGCAGTAAATAGGGAGACAGTATTACATGTGAATTATTGATACAAATTTATTATCAAAATCGTCCTGTAAATAACTCTTATTCATATTAATAGATTCTTTTCGGTAAAAAAAGTGATAGTTATGTATAATTTATTTTAATATATTTTTTTATTATAAATGTAAGCATATATGTATATATACAGGGTGTCCCATAACTCACCTGACAAATATCATGGATAGGTAGAGCGGATTAAACTGAGACGGAACGTCTCTACCATTTTTCAATTTTCGCAATAGTTAACGAGATATTTATTTATAAAAATATCCAAATTTGCTCGGCCCACCGTCAAATGCAAGCGCGCGGCTCGATAGGACCGCCCAGCGCGGCGCGCCGCGCGTGCTCGCCGTCGCTAGGCACGTGTTGTTTATAACAAGCAGCAATGGACGTCGCTAGACATGAGTCGCGAATAGCGTCGAATTTCCAGCTATAATTATTCTTTGAGCTATGATCATTCTCTGTTCATAATAAAACGAAATCTTCGTACGAAAAATTTATTTTTGCATGCACGTATGTTCGGAAACATATTAGAAATTAATATCTCGGTTACGAAAATTAGGAAAATTGAGAACTCTTTCCAAGAACACAGTTTAGTTCGCTCTAAAGTGAACTTTCGTCGCGCTAGTCTCCGCGTTTTAAATTGTGAATTATTTCCTGACTATTTGTATCATAACAAAATTATTTACAACATAGAAAAATTGTTTGTGTGCATTTTCTGTGTGCGTGAACGTGCACACAGAATCGGCTAATCGATCACGAGCAGGTAGAACGGACCGAATTGAATCGACAAATCTTATACCATTTTGTAGGTTGCGCAATAGTTAACGAGATATTAACGTTTAAAGATAGCCGAATAAGCGCGTCCGGCCGGCCTACTGCTGCCGAATATACAACCTACCGTCCCCACCGATCGCACGGCGCGCGGGCCAGGGTCGGTGATTATTGTGTTGAGGGTGTTGAGAACTCAACATCCAGTCGGTTATAGGGTGTTGTTTTCAACACCCTATTAAGGTGACAAAATGTAATGAATTATGTAGGAGATTTTATTAAGTATACATGTATTCTTTTCAATACTCATAGCGTTTCCCACTGGCGCACTGAGTGGGCACTGAGTGTCAAATTTCAAATTCTTCAAATCAAATTC